TCCTTTCCTTATGCCGGTTTTAGCATTGGTTGTAATTTTGTGCATTGTGATTATAGATATGTCGGTGAAGGCGCACCCAGATCATTGAGTCGTGTGAGGGTAACTTGGGACTTCCTTTATGGCTTAGTTTCAGTACTGTGAGTGATAATACCCCTTCTATGCATGCATTTTTTACTATGTTTTCTAGTATAGATCATGTTATCGCTTATGAATTGTATTTTATTATATGTTTACATCTGAGATATGTGTTATGTGATTTGTAAACAATCAGTGAGTTATGTTGATTTATTGACATTAGTTTTCGAGATATGGACTATATATGTGTATATACCTATTTTTGACTCATATGTGAGGAGTATGCTATGTGCAGAGATTGTGTGACTCTAGTTGTGAGATGGAGGATGCCTCCGACCAAGAGTGTGATCTGTGATTGTGATGAGCTCGATCATCAAACTGAGGATTCCTCCGATCAAGCGATGGTCATCTGATATGAATGGGGATGCCAAAGGTCTACTGGATTACGGTGGTCTGTAGCATGCAGTGGTGAGTGCCTTGGATTCTGTATGAGACGATGGGGCTGCGAACGGAATGCACACTGTTGTGATGAGTTTGAGGATGCCAGAGGCTCGGCTAGAGTATGGTGGTCTGTAGCATCCAATGGTGAGTGCTTTAGGTCTGATGGGAGGCTGTGGTGCCTCGGGCATGATACGCTCTGCATGTGATATGATGACTGGATATGTTGATACCTCACATATATGTTTTGATGCATTGTACTACAAAGCATGTCAACAACAGAGCATGTCCATTGTACTACAAAACATGTTAACAACAGAGCATGTCCTTGTTGATTTATCTAGTGTATGGGCTTTCTTTGTATCGTGTTCTTTTGTATTCTAGACATTGCTTCTTATTATTCTTAGATAGATCCTACCTTGTCTATTTGGAACCTTGTGATTATTTACATGTATTTGTTGAAATGAGTATAATTTGCTCGGATGGGTGTTATGAGACTTACTAAGGTCAGTGGGCCTTAGTGTCGATCATGAGCCCGGGATTGTGTCGTGACAATATTGTCTACTTTAGGCCAAGACTCTCACGATTTTAAAATGCATATATCATATATTAAGATATTCATATCAGCCTAGCATCATTTTTGTATTTTGTTGATGTGAAATTTGACTAAAGATATTACAAAGCCTTACTTTGTATATAATAAATAGCCACCGATTCAAGACCTCTAGGTTTATGGAGAATCAAAAATGCAATAAGTACTTTACAAATAAAAAAATGAAAAATAAATGATTAATGTTTCCATATCAATTTAAAGAAAAATTTTAAAACAAATAAATTATTACAAATACAAATAAAGAGATATATTGTGACATTTTGTCTTATATTAGTTTATAAATATAAGATTATATTATATATAAAACTCTAGAAGAGATATATTATGATATTCTGTTTTATATCAGTTCGAAAATATAAAGTTATATTATGTATAAAACTCTAAAAATTAATATTAAATAACTTTAAATTTAAATATTTTGAATCAATAGTTCAAACTAAACATGTTATTAGTATCACTAGTTGTTGTAAATGATATCACCGCAACGACTCGCCTATCTCATATTGTTTATGAATATAAAATTATTTTTATATAAAACTTACAAATATTTTATTTGTACAAACTTTATTTAAAGTATTTATTCTTCTCCCGTTTCTATTTCTCCTCTTACCAAACTATAAAAAAAAAATCATCATTTAAATTTAGTATTAATTAATTTCTACAATACACTATATATTATTATTTTAATTTGTTACTAAATAGCCTAACCTCAATTATTCCCACAGCTGGCTAGCTTGAAGGAAATAAGTGAAGAGTTTAGTTTTTAATTAAACAAAAATCTTAATAGAAAAAGGTTGTGGCCATAAAGTATTTCACGACGTGACAAAGAGGGCGAAGACCCTAATTAAATAATAGCAGCCACTAAAAGCAAGAAGAATAAAAAATGAAAAAGTCAAAACTACCCTTCTTTGCAACAGTAAATTTTACATCATTTTCCATGAAAATCAGCCTAGGATTAAGAAAAATGACAAGAAAATATTTTGAAAATAAAGAACAGTTCAAAAGCCTAGACCACACAATCCCCCACATTATGTGACTCTTGACTAGGCTTGAGCTTTGTGTTTATTATTAGGATAGTGATTATCTACTTAATTATGTAATTAAAAAAGAAAGAAAAGGAGTGAAAGTGAATGATCTTTACATGTTTGACTGCGGACAGAGTTACGACATTGTCAACCATCCATTGCCCTCCATCAAAAGATACATTTATTTTAGACGTATAATGTCACTATTTATATTTTAATATTTTTCTTTCATTATATTCAACGTAAAATTCACGATAAGATAATATTAAAGTCTAATTTTTACTTTCTTTTTTTTATAATAAAATCTCAAACGAGGTCGATGTTACGATTTCTAAAGTTAAAATCAGAATTGGAATAATTCAAAAAAAAATTAAACTCAATTGAAAAAGAAAGTGTTCAGTGGAGAACCTTTCATGTATTGCATAAATCGTTACCCTTTTTTTAATTTTATTTTTCTAAATTTAATTTCATAAAAATATTAGTGATGATCCCCTTTCAAATAAATAAATAAGTCAGCAATTTCTTCTAAATTTCAGAAATATTCATATATAGATGTAGAAAAAAAATTCTAACAAATTTTTCTTCTTAATAATTTGTTTATTTAAATGTTGCAAAAAATCAAAACATAAAATAAAAAACCCAAAAAATGAGAAAACTAAATTATCGAAATACTAATTTGTCTAAATTTTATTTCCTGGACTTCTAATCAATCAAAATAGTAAAAAAAATTAAAAAAATATTTTTGTTCAATATAACCAAAAGGAAAAGAAGATGAGATTACCGGTCCTCCTAAGCGGGATTAACAAAACCTACCTTTTGCTGGACTTCATGATCTTGGAAAAATTGCTAATATTAATCTCATAATTATTCTAAACTAATCATTCAGCCCTTTTCTACAGTTTACAATTGTCTAAACTATTATCAAACCTGATCCATAACACACCCATTAATCCCATCTTATCTTTATCCAATTACATAAATAATTCCATCATTTATAATATAATTTCCATATCTCATACCAACAATCTTATTATATCTCAAATAATTAAATTAATAATTTTTTATATGTAATATTAATAAATTTTAAATTATAAATTTTAAATTAAAAAAATTTAAAAACAAATATAATTAATAAAATAAAATTAAAAATTTTAAAATATATATATTTTCTTATCCAATTAAATTTTTATATTTTAAATTATTTATCAAATTTAAATATAATTTAACAAATAAAAATATTTTAAAATTTTAAATTAAATTTTAATATAATAATAATTAATTAAATTAATATCTTCCAAATCCAATCCGCTGACAGTCGGATATCAAACAGAGAAGTCAAACGGCTACTGCTGGCACGATACCCACTAAGCCTGTTCACCGGTCATTAATTTTTTTTAAGTTGTAAAATTAATTTAACATATACTAAAAATAAAAATTAAAAATATTTATAAATTTTGTTAAAAATAATAAAATTATTTAAAATTATATTATTAATTAAAAAATCAGAAATTAACTATTTTATATAAATTTTTAAAAAAAATCTGAAAAATGAAGATTTCAACAAGTATAAACTACGTAAAATAAACTCTCCTACCAACTACATCACCCATGACGTTTCTAACTTTTAACCGCAGAGGATAATTGGTTGCGTGCAAGAGGGGTTATGAGCAGGAGCAAGGAAAAGTTTCTCTAATCCCTCAAGTTTTCTTCGGTCAGACACATTCCAAATCTTATATTTCTTTGTTTTTATTTAAATTCGAAATAAAAAAACTATTTTTCAAGTGAAGTGCCAAAGCTGGAACACATCCCCTCATATTCATAATTAATTAAGTAGATTTACGTCCCTTGTCTGATATTATTTAATGCTACTTTATATTTTTATACTAGTAGATTTTTTCAGTTTTTAATAACAACATTCTCTTTCACAGGAGTCTCATACGACCATCCTCCTCTTTCCTCTCTGCATTTTAATCTGGCGTCCAAGTTCTAATGAATCGCTTAAGGAGGACATGGAAGACCCTGTTTCTTGAGTACTATTCTGTTTCTGGGAATTAAAAACAGAATTACTACTAAAATTGTTCTCGACCCACTTCTTGAAAACAAAAAAGAGAGAACATTTGTCAGAATTCTCAAAATTATTTTCTCAATAGAGGCATTTTGGGAGGTTCCCCATGCCTCCGATGGGCCTCAAGAACAAATGAAGGAGAAGACTTTTTTCACTTAAAAATGAAAACGACTTGGAAATAAATAGAAGAGTTTTCCAAGATTTTGAGTTTCTATTTCCAGAAACATAAAACAAGAGAGCAGATAACAAAATTGAGGTTAAAACTTGTTCAAATAATCTGCTGCTTCACGCCCATTTGAAGTAGTAAATGGAAGTTAAAAGCACGACGATCAGTCTAATGGAAGAAGAAAGAATTCACAAAAGAGCATGCAGCCGATCATATTAAAATTGCAGAACAATATAACATGAGTTAGCTAACAAAGGTTATACAAATTACATAATATAAAGACATCACAAACGGGAAATTAAGCATAATTCAATTTTCTGCCACCCCTTGCTCAGGCAGCACAGACTGTCTATACAGAAAAAGTCTCCCTTAGTACTTTTCTTTAATCTTCTCCGGTAAACTTAGGAAAGGAGATTCTGCTACTTCATTCCTCCATATTCTAATACTTCATTATACTTTATATAAAGATATAAACATAAATATATTTACAGAATCTTCTAATTGTTGCTTCCAAAATCATATTCCATCCCCCTGTAAATCTTCAAGATATTCACACTGGGTAGGGAGAGGACAAAAAACAATCGTCATCCAATAGAGGCAGAGACGCAGAGAATCACTTCATGTTACCAGCTTTGACACCCATCCCAAATCAGGACCCGCAGATATTGGTTCCGATCCCGACTTAGCGCCATCTAAGGGGTTCTCCCGGCTTAGTTTCTCGAACATCTTAGCCCTAAGATCTCGACCAGACTCAACCCTTTCCATTACAGGTTCCTCTTCCAGCCCGATTTTGTCCCAGAGGTCCAAAGACCGGACCGATCGGGATGTTGTGCTAGTCGGGGTTGAAGGCAAGCTGCAGAAAACAGGTCGAGTGATGGACAAAGTGGGGGATCCGAAGCGAGAACCCATCTGAGGACCCCACGAGGAAGGCATAGACTTGACCTTGTTCAGTTGCAACTGACGCAGAGACAAGACCATTTCATTGACCGACCCCGAACCTAAAGACCGGGCGGTCATTGGAGACATCGGCGGTGACTCTAAAGAACTTGACCCGTCATAGGAATCAGCCGAACCCGAACCCGGTGCTCTGGGACTCAGGACACGGAGCTGGTCGGGCGAGTGGGCGAAGAAGCAAACCCGCCGGCGACAGTTCCGGCCGTCCTTGCACGGCTGGGTCCGGTACCGGGCCGGGTGGAGCCAGCACTCGAAGACGCCATGTGCGAACTCACACGCGTCACCCTTCCTGCAGTTACCTTTTCGAAAATCCGGACATGCGGTACCCGAATAGTGAAACTTTCTCGGGTCTCTCCTGCGGGCCTTCTCGCCGGGATGAGCATACGGACACTCTGTCCAGTCGTGCGACCTGGCACGCGTGCACTTCCGGACCTTGAACTCGAACATCCTGAAGAGTCAACACCGGTTATAACATGCTGACACAAATACCACCCGATACGACACACTCCTTTAATACAAAATTTTGACAAGGTTATCCTCATTTTTCTGTAAATGAATTTTTAATAGTTACCCTCAAATTTCGAAATATTTAATACCAACCCAAATTGCGACTGCTACCTGAAGTGATCACAAGAGTACGCGTCCGACGGGAGATCCGACTCTCGACCAGAGTCGTCGGAGTCCAAATCCACGTCGTTCGACGGGAGATACCGTTGCAGCGCCGTCAGATCATCGAACGGAGAGTAGTCGTCGGCATTGCCGGTGAAAGGGAAGGGGAATGAAGCGTCGACTGTTGGATCGTCGACTATCGTCGTCCACGGAGGGACGTGGACCGTCGGATGTGAATGGTTTCGCTCTCCGATCATCATCTCTAGGTCATGCAACCTATAGACTCGCTCACTTACCCACACCCCTGCCCGTGGAGTATAAAAACTGCCGGTCCAGTGGGTCACTAACCACGGTTGAGTTTGTTTTAACCCTGGTTAGATTAATGGCTACGATCCCTAGATTTCCACTACGGTTAAACATAGGGGAGGAATTTTAGATCACAGCAGAGTACGCATTGGATGTGAAGGTGATACGAGGAATAGACACGTCAGCTTGAGTACCCACGTGGACAGTTGTTATAGGGACTTCATGGGATTTCGTAAGAAAAGGGTAACTATAGTTTGCTGGTTAAATGTGTTTTTAACTCGAGCCCTGTAGGGCATCAATGGCGGTGGAGGTGGAGTAAAGTACACACGGGAGAATATGGAGACCGCATTGATTACGAAGATAGGAAAAATGGCCCGCTGAATGAATTAACCTCATTGCCATTCCATTCCACGCCTTGGGCTAATTTTTGACGTTCTAGGTTTTTCATTTTTTTACAGATGCCGATTAAACTATCTACTTGTCTAGAATTACCTAATGGACATTTACTGCAATAAATTTTTTAATAAAAATATAAAAGAAATTTTAAATTTTAAATATTATATTTCAAAATTTTAATTTAGAGTTTTAAGAAATATAATAAAATATTTAATTTTTGAAATTTTAAAATATTTAATATTTTTAAACATTCAAGAATTAATAAACCTTTAAAATTCTAAACATATCAAATAGTTGTAAAATTGTTAAAAAAATTACTTATTTAAAGTCCAAAAGCCATAAAAATTTTTAGTTTCATATTTGTAGCTCCAACACTATATCTCTATCACCTAGTTTAGAAAAATTAAGTTGGTGATTGCAATAATGACCAACAATAAATAGTTACGTTATATTTATTTTTTTAACAAATTTAATTTTTAACGTCAGAATTTTTAATTTAATAGAATAATTTGTACTTATTACTAATTTATTGCATCACTTTTTTTAAAATGAAATATCGCCATGCATGAAGATATTCAAGAACGTCTAAAAGTGCCATTCAGTGCTTGCTAAGAGCCGTTCGATAGTCTTGAGAAGCTGGATAAGAATAAAAAATAAAATAAATCTTTTACTATATTTGGTTATATTATGATCTAAAATTAAACAATGGTCAGTACTAAGATTAAATCACTAATTTCAATAAATTTCAAATAAAATAAATAATACATTAAAAAATTACAAGCCATTCTATTACAGATAGCCAAATCATATATATACATTCCAAGCCATTCTATTAAAGATAGTCAAATCATATATATATAGAAGGACTTGTCGTAATAACAAATTGAGCACACTAAAATATAAATAGACATATACTGTAATGCTGGTACTCAAGATCGGCTCATCATGGAAGATACGTACTCACTTAGTGATGCAAATGAAAAGATGAATCAACATTACGATTTGAAAATGTTAAGAGAATGACGAGTATAAAACTCAATTAATAATAATATAAATTCTAATCATGATAAGATATACATAATAAAATATGTAGAACATGTACATAGTTAAAACAGTGAGTAGAATGTGTATATCGATGAATATCATCATATGATCATATATTTGAAAACACAAATTTTCAAATATACTTCTTTATAGAAATGCCAAACATGTGAGCGTTTGAGATCATATCATGTTTCATCTCGACAACAGAGTATATCATGTCGGAGTATCATATATCACATATCGTATCAAAAATCTTATGTCACATATCATATCAGAATCTCCTCCTATGATAGAGCGTATCATGTCGAAGGCATCTCATATCACATATTATATCAAAATCTCATATCACGAAAGAGGGTATCGTGCTAAGGGCATCTTATATCATATATAATATCAAAATCTCATATCATAATAGAGTCTATTGTGTCGAAGCCGTCTCATATCACATATCCTATTAAAACCTCATCTCACGACAAAGTGTGTCATATTGGAAATATCTCATATCATGTATCATATCAAAATATTATCTCATGATAAAGTATATCATGTCGGAGGCATCTTATAGCACATATCACCACTAATCAGCATATATATATCTTCCACCACATATATTTAAAAATACAAAATAGGGGCATATTTTCAAATATTTTTCAAAATACTAACATACACGAGTTCATTTCACATCAAATACAAAGTTTATAATAAATTAAACTAGTTTCACTATATTTCAAAAATAATTTTAGAATACCTATCCTAGATTTTTAGATCAAAATCTATCGATTATATTATATAAAACGATCTATATTATATTATAAACCATTGTGATAACCCTATTTTTCACCAAATTAATTTAGAAATTAATTAATTATATTTGTGAAGGGCTTAATTGCATGCAACAGAAGGTAAAAGGGATTAATTAAAAATTTTGGAAGGTGCCAATGAATAAATTAAAGGAACTGAAGGTCTAATTGCGAAACCAAAAAGAATTGAGCTCAATTGGGAATATCAAGGGGCCAAATCGAAAGAAAATAAAGAGGGAAGGTCAAAACAAAGGATCTTCGAAGTTTAGGAGGCCAAATTACAAGGGCTAAGGGGCCAAATGAAAAAGAATAAGAATTTAGGGGACCAAATCAGAAAAGGGGAAATTTTTCAGTAAGCCATCGACTAATTTTTCTGTACAAATTAGACTAATAGATGTTTGATCAATCATTAAAAGTGGTTCATCCTCAATCGATTTGGAGTTTTCTACACAAACCCTCGCTCAATTTGATGTTTACATCTCAAATTCCTATAGAATTTTACCTTGGAAATTCTTAAGAGGTCCGTGAGGTTTAAATAGGTTCTAGCTGAGAATTTCTTCATTTTGGGTTAATTATTTCACAAATCGAGTTCACCAATAGCTTTGTTGCCCTCGATTTATCTAGTTTTAACTCTTAATTAAAGCCCGAACTTGAGGTCAGCTTCGAATTTGATCGGTTTTGTGGTTCAGTGCATTTGGGTTTATTTTATAATGCAGCTGAGTCATAGGTCGGGTTGGCGGGTAGAGAAAAAGAGATTCGAATGGGATTTGGATCTAAGCCAGTCCAGTTTGGATGGCTTAGGCCAACCAAACTTGGTTCAAGCTAGTTCTGTATGGTTTCAACCCAGTTCAGACTGATTCAAGGGTTTAATAAACTAGTTCAATTCGATTCTAAGTAGATCCAGGCTGGTTTAATCTAGTTTTAATGGTTTTCGGCCCAGTTCAATTTAGTTTTGTGGGTTATTTGGCTAAACCACTCCATTTTTAGAGTTTTAAGTCTAGTTTTGGGGGAATTTGGTCTAGTTCAATGAAGTTTCAAAGCGTTTTGGTCTTGTTCAATCTAGTTTTGAGGGATTTTAGTCTTGTTTAGTCCGACTCTAGAGGATTTTGGTCCAATTCAATCTAGTTTTAGGGGATTTTGGTTCTCTTTAGTTTATTCTAGAGGGTTCTAGTCTAGTTCAGTCTGGTTTTAAGGTGTTTAGTTCCGATTTAGTCTGATTCTAAGGTGTTTGGATTCAATTCAGTCTACTTCTGAGGTTTTTGGGTCTAGTTCAGTCTCATTCTGAGGCGTTCAGGTTTGATTCCGTCACACCTCAAACCCCAGCATGTGACCGGTACTAAGGCTGGCACTCCAACCTTGGTAAACCTTTGATCCGAAATAGAATACAAACTCAAAAATATCAAATAGCACAATATCTTAAATCATCACAACCCTGTCTAAAAAATAACTGGAGCAACTCTAAAATACAAGTTTAGAACAAGTAGAACGTCAAGCCGTACATCAACTTCAACTTGGCAAGAAACAGACAACTTGGTTAGAAATGTGAACCCTCGTTACAATCTGAAAAATAAAAAAGGATGAGTCTTGAAACCTAGTGAATGATAATACAGGTTGTAGTCATACTGAGACATCCATCATAAAAGTGTGCCAGAACCATACGTAAAAGTATACAGTGAGTAACTTGGTCAAATCATTAGATAAGTCATAAAATATACCTCATGCTTTCAAAATCACAATTTACTAATTTGGTCATATAGAAGTATCTTGTCATATTAGAAATCACATCTCACAATAGAGTATATCATGTCAGCAGAATCACATATCACAATAGAATCGGAACCAAAATTAGAATATCAACTCACGCCAGAGCATATCATGTCGGAGGATTCACATATCACATATCACATCAGAACATATAGGGATCTCATATCAGAACCAGAAACACAATTAAAATTAGAACTAGAATCAGAATAACTCCCAATATAAATTTTTAGAAAACAATTATAATAAAGGCATGAATTTTAATTAAACATCTATTTTCAAATAACTCATTGTAATTTCAAAATAAACGAATACATGTGCCAAATTTTTCCTTTCAAAATCAGAAATCATATCACATCAATTTTTTTCATAACCAGAATAGAATAAACATACATAAAGTAAGTATTATCACTCACAGTCTAAAACAAAACTAGAAATCCGAATCATCGAAAATGAGCTCATGGATCGAAGCATGTCTCATCGGGCAGATCTACAATCACAACATCACATAATCAAAACCAGAACCGAACTTCGTCCACTTACAAGTTTTAATACCCAAAACAGACTAGAATCCCATTTTGAGACCTTAGCACGCATCCTGAGGTTCATTTCCTGACACTCAAAACCCACGTGACTCAAAAAGACACATCCAAACCCCTTAAAACCCTCAAACCACACTGAACCAATTTCCAAAGCCCTTGAACCGGCTTGAACCAGCTTAAAAAATCATTAACCAATCTAAATTAGCCTAAAACTACCTTAAACTGAGTTGAACTGGCTATGAAACCCTCAAAATCGAATTCAGAAAGTTCAAAAACCTTAAGAACCGGTATGAACCGATCAAGAATGGCCCAAAATAAGACTGAATCGGCCACTTAACTCCTAAATCGCCTTAAATCGAGACAATTTAATCAAAAACTCTAAATTTTTGGTCGAACTGGACCTTCCCG